TACCCAGACCTGCTGATGGCTGGTAGCCCATTATCAGACCACTGAGGTGCAGATTCTCATTGCCACATGCCACCCAGCCCTACCATGCTCCACCCTGTCCAGAGTCCAGGCTACAGGGGAGATACCTCCCAGGCATGCAGTGCTAACTCACTGAGTCCTCAGCACACCACGGGAGCTGTGCTGTTAGCAAGGGATTGCCTTAGCTGCCTTTTTTTTGCTTTTTTTTTTTTTTTTTTTTTTAAATCCTGGTCAGAATTTTATTAGGGCCTAAGAATAGCACTACCTGCACCTCGAAATTAAATAGTGACATTTAGATGTGCAATCGTATTTCACCCAGCAGACTGAGAGCAAGTGAAGGCAGCCTGAACCAGTGAGTCAGTGCAGGGAGGAGGGTGCTTTGGCAAATGACTCATTACAAGAGAAATTCCAGGCTGTTAACATACTGGACAAAAGTAGCTCATTTACTGTATAGCAGAAAAAATAAGGCTCAGCAGGCTGGACACTGACAATTTTTCAGGGTGGAGTTATTTCAAAACATGAAGTAAAGAAAAAACATTCTTTTTAGAAGCCAGTTTAGTGCATCAGAGATGAAGCACTGCTTCTCCTTTAAGCGTTTAAAACAGAATTGGGAAGAGAGTGGAGATTATTAAAGACACACTTCCCATGCACAACAGCAGCATTTGTTATTTATACAACACTTGCCTCTGCATGTCTGGTTGAAGTTTGAAAAACATTTTCAAGGCACTCCCTTCCCTTTCCCACAGCCTTCTCCCCCTTCAGTGTGTCAATACCAACTGATTCAGGTTAAAAATAACCCAAGAGTCCTGGTGCTGTGCACAAGTAAGCAATTGCACAACTCCCCTCACAAAGTGCCTATCACTCCATTTAGGATGTCATCAACTCAGGAAGGAGCCAGTGATCACATCCCCTCATGAATCAGGGAAAGACAAAAGGGCACACCTACCAGACCACCCTGTTGTCACTCTGTTTTGTTTTAAACAGAGTAATTATGTTGCAATTTTTACTCACAGATTTCGGTAAAGAAGATTGCTGATGTTGGGAGACCTGTGCACAAAACACCCTCAGGGAAAGAAGGCCAAAGCACTGCAGGAGAAATCAACCAGTTATGTTTAATTATGCTAAATTCCACCTACATCTCCCTGACTGGAGATTCCTGTTAGCTAGCTCAAAATGTTTATCTGCAGAGAGGATCTAAACTGTCTGAACACAGGTCTCAGCCGTTCAAGGTTTCATTGCCTTCTCACGCCCAGTTTGGTAGATGAACTGGGGGTGGTTCAGAAGTAAGGTCACAGATGTGGGGGTGGGAGGGCAGTGTCAGCAGAGGTTTCTATCTGTGCTGTGTCTGCACTGGCATCATTTACTCTTTTAGCTTGAAGCATCCACATCCTCAGCTAGAATATCTTGGGTGAAATAGCTGTATGGAAGTCAAAACACCATTTACTTTGATACGCCCAAGGTTTTGCACATTTTATACCATGTCACATAATTTAGATTGAAAAAACACCCAGGAAAAGACCAGCTTCCCCACACTTCCTACACAAACATGTGCATAAGTCCCTGTTAGCTTAAAAATGGTATCTTTGACTCCATACTTTTTTCCTTGGAGTCAGCTTGACAGCATGTAACACATCACCACAGAAGATGGAGCATCAGGACAAGTTCAGCTGAGCTGCAGCACTTCAGCTGCAACACATTTATTTATAAAACAAAAAAAAAAAATATGAAATCATTGATTCAAAGGAATCAATAATAAATATTTGCTTTCCTCCAAGTTGTTCAGACACAGTACAAGTACACCAATTATAGCTGGTAGAAGAGATGTAAGCTGAGTTTAGCTGCTGAGAAACAAAAGAAAGTTACATAACACACGCATTTAATCACACTAGTAATAACTGGTATATGGCAATAAATGCTTTAAATACACTATTTTACAAAACAGAGTTTGGCTTATGGTTCATTTGCTACCCTTGTGCAACTCTTTAGCACCTAGAGCTCAGATCACGTCCCTTTGAAAATCAAATACCTTGACATGATTTCTCTTGTACCTGCTTTGAGTAACAAACTTTTCCCTTTGGCTTCATACTAGCAACTGAGGTGCAGAGTTGACTCTGTGCTCCCCTGTGAGATCACTGATGTGTGAAAAGCACTGAAGACTTTGTTATTTTAATAAGTCTGGTGCCCACACATCTTTGCATCTCTGTTCCATGCTGGGACACTGCCACGGTGCTTTTTCTGGCACTGTTTGTAGAAGGGGCAGCCTGCACACACCTGGGCAGGAGGCACCTGTAGTGGCTGGGAACAGGGCTGGGAATGGTCACACACATCAGGCTTCAGCAGTTGTTTCCAACTAACTTCTCTTCCCCACAGTCCTTAAACCTTTTGGACAGGCAGCTCACATGACCAGGAGTGACTTTTCTGCTCCAGGAGAGCTGGAGACCAGGAGAGGGCTGCTACAGCTGATCTATCCTGTAGCATAAGCCTCCAGGAAAGAGACTCCCAGCAGCAGGCTGGACCAATTCACCTGCCTGGCAGCAAGTGGCCTCTGGGCTGTAGGCAGAGCATGCTCCTCGTCCCTAATTGCAGGTCTGGCCTGTGACTCAAAACTAACCTACAGCATTTAGTGCTGGCCTGTAGTCAGCTCAGCTGTTTGAGTCGTTACCCTTATTTTGGGGTAATGAGCTTCTGGTCATTCAGGCACATGTTCTTCACTGAGAAAAGCACTCCTCTTTTTATATGTGTACAGGAAGTATCCTCAGATGGAGCCCAGGTAATGTTAAGCACAATAAACAACCACAGAAGAAGCCACAAACTCCTTTAGCAGTCCTGCTCCTGCTCTTGGGGACTTTCCCAGCTCTGGAGTACCTTGTAAACGTTTTGGAGTGCCTAAGCCTTCAGGTTCCAGGAAAAGACCAACTGCTGAGGAATAACAGACACTTAAAGCTGCTGCTTCCAAGGAGTGACAGCCACTGCAAAACCCACCAAAACACAGCTGATTGTGCAGTGTGCCTCTGGAGTATCTGGGGAAACTCTAGGTAATATGACACAGTATCCAGTGCCAGGAGCTATCACAAAGTAGAAGCTTGTCAAACACCTAACAGCAGATGTCTCCTTTGTTTAAATCTGTGACCTGGGACTTCCTTCCCTGCACAACAGATCAGTCCTTTGTCCTGCCAAGGGTGGCCAGGTTCACTCTGGAGTAGAGCCTCAGTGAAATTTTGGTACACGTGATGAAAATGGGTGACTGCTCTTAGGAAGAAGAGGTCTCAGGTAGTATGGGGTGAGTTTCAAAACTGCTTCTCATAAGGAAGTAGCCCGAGCAGAGCTTGGCTTTGATCACATTGTCTAGGAAGCTATAAACTCTGGGTCTGTCAGAAAAGATTAATTATGGTCCCTGATGTGACAGCACTGCAGATCTGTGGTGGTTCTGTGCTGATCCATCTCCTGTAGACTCATTCCATAAACTGGAGAAAACCTTCCTTCCCTTAAACAAAAAGAAAACCACCTAATTTTTTTAAAAATGGAATATCATTAGTCCATGAATACAGGAATCTAGAACCTACAAGCTCAGTGTCTTGTGTGTAGCAGGGGTCAGAGCCAAGTCCTTCAGAGGAAAGGAAGTGGCAGAATTATGTGAGCATCTGCCTCCAGAAGTTGCCTGTCCCTATCTCCTGTTGGCCTTCGACTAGAAGCATAAGACTTTTACATTTCTGGGTAACATTTGTGCTGGTTAAATTAATCACATAAAATATTTTTATGACTCTTATCATTTTTAAGAGTCTTGCTGAGATTTAAGCCTCCACAAGAGCACGTGGCCCAGCGTTTGGGACAATGCACACAGATATTTTCTGATGGAAGCAGCGTTGTGCTTGTTTACCTGTCCTTGGTGTGCTTTCCTCACTCGGTGCTCTGTCACTCTACCCTTCAGCCTTACCTGGGTGCCTGAAGGTCAGCTCGAGGATGTTTTTGTGCAGCCTTGGGAAGAGCTTCTACAGCATGGCTCACCCCAAAACTGATGAACTCCCAACCTGGTGAGAGTGGAGCTTTCTTCCAAAGGCTCCGTCCAGGTTTTTTGGTAGATTAGTGGCCCTTGCTTTTTGAGGGACCGCGTTCATTCCGGATTCAGTGCCCAATTCTCATCACACTAAGGCTCATTTGCCACAGAGACCACTCCCCAGTGGTGCTCCTGCAGCTTTGCAGTGCTGACCATAAAAGCAGAGTCAGGCTCTTGGCCGTATCTCTCGGGGTTTATTATTAAGTTTATTCGGGCAATTAAAGCACCTCTGTTTCCTTGACATAAGGGTCCTTTTTCTCTTTAGTACAGAGGCCAGTTCAGATGTATGCCTTAATGCTGCATCTCTTGAGCTTTTTGAGAGCTCCTTTCATTGCCACTTTAATTACAGCCTCCAAAAGTATTTCACTAGGAGAGTGAATGCAGAAAACGTGAAGCAACTGTCAGTTCCCTTTGAGGCTGAACCTTTAGCAGAGAGTCTGCCTCAAAAATCTTTGGATAAGACAATGCACCTTTGAGAAAGTTCTCCAAAAGCAATACAAGGGATTTTTCCCTTCCCACAAAACCTCTCTGGAATTTTACCTGTCTTTATGTCTCTGTTGATCCCTTTTAAAAAATCCTGAGGTTTGGCTTCATTTTGTTTCAACAGCACTTAGCTGTTTGTAGTTCTAAAATGCTCAGTGTTCCACTTCCAAAAAAAGATAATTTAAAAAGGCTCCCTTTTCCCTCAAATGTGTCTTTCTTAAAAAAAAAAAAAAAAAAAAAAAAAAAAAGTAATTCTGTAGCAGAATCTCAGTGCTGGAAGAGGTAAGAAAGAGTTCAGTGGGAGGGCTTCTTGTGGTGTGAATAATCACAAGTGATTAAATCAATCTGACCAGGAAGATAACTAGCTAACCTAACAATTCCTATGTGGCTGGTGGTATGTGGCGTGTTTCTGGACAGCAGGAGTCTCCAGGTGGCTGGGGAACAGTCACACTGTCTGGAATGCTCGGCTTTGGGCAGGCACCATCACCAGCGTCGCTCCCATCTTCATCAGGTTAGGGTAGTCAACTTTCTTTGGCTCGGTTTCTTTTCCTTCCATCTCCCTCTGGCTGTACTGGGGAGGAGTTAGGTGGGGAGTAGCTTCTGTGGACAAAGTTCGTTGGCTACGAGAGGCACTGTTGGCTGTCGACCTGGTTGAGGAGGAACCTGAGCGTGAGCTCCTGGAACCAGAAGAAGAGGAACTGGGCTTGACGAGATGGGCCTTGGGTGCCTCTGCATCTTCTCTGGAATCAAACAGATAACAGGACTTCAGATATCATGGAAACAGAAACGCTGAGATGTTTTACCAGACCAAAGTGTGCAACAATAAGCAGTTGCTTACTCAACCTGCAAATCACCAGGGCATATTTGTCCAGCAGTTTGAGCAAGGAACAGGGCTTTCTGAATTCTGTGCTATGTGACTTTGTGGACTGAACTTTCTGTTACTCTGCAGAGCTATGGGTCAAATGGATTTAGAATACATGCTGCACACGACTGGCTCTTTGTGCACAGCTTTGAGGTCGGTGGAACGAGTGCCAAGTGTCAGTGCAAACTGTTCAGATAGAACTGTCTGCTCTGTAATTCTTGCTCATAATGACAGATGACCTAGACAGGACTAGCTGTAACCAGTTCTTCTAGTTAAAAAAGATGTGGGTGGGTAAAGAAGTGCAAGACCTGGGCCCAGCGAGAGAGAAGAGGCAACAGTCATGCATGAAAAGGTGATACAAGAGGCTGAAACTCAGAGTAAAAATAAAAGGCCTGCAAGATTTGAAAGCAAAGAGAACAGGAAACAGAGAAGGGCAGAAGAGAGCAGAGACTACCTTCGTGCTGTCAACCTGACCATCAGGCAGAGTAATCAGCTGCTGAATGGATTACAGAGATGCTTAATGATACGTAAGATGCCATATGAGGGCAGGCAGCCTTTTGCAAATAAACATAAGGATTTAACATAAGGGATTTCTTCAAGGGCAGGGGCAACTCAAACTCATTCCTGGAAATATCTTTTTCCAGCACTTCCAGAGAAGTTTAGGCTCAATGGGCTGGAGAGCAATTTCTGCTTGGGGGGGTTCAGTGGGAGACCTCACACCCACGTAACAGATGAGTTCAGAGAATGAGCATCAGCATTCCTGGAACACCCATCGGGGTGAGGCTGCTCAGGGGGTTTCCACCCTCAGCTAAATCCAGAAGCACAGTTGGTGAAGAGACTCAGGAAGAACGTGAGAACCTGCCTGCCTCATAGCATTCCCAGCTACAAGGGACAAGGGGGTTGAATTTAGTACTGGAAAGGACTCTGAAAATGCTTTTAAATGCTGAAAAATAAAGTGAGAAACAGAATATTTTGCCAAGTTTCGTGCTAATTTGTCCAGAGGGTGGAGGGGGGAAAGACATTTACATCTATCTAATATTCTGGAAGGTCTTCACAAAGATTCTCACAGTTAAGAAATTTGTCACTGATACGTCAGGGAGACTTGAAAAACTTTTTAGAACAACCTTTTAAGACACTTAGGTTACTTAAAACTGTAGTGAGAAGATGTATGAAACTGAGAGTGGGAGGTGGGGGATTAAATAAAAGGCATTACCTGATTTCATTTGGTGCTTCCTCTTCCTCATATCTCTTCTTTTCTTTCCTCCTTATTGTCAGCCTGACCACCAGGAAAAGCAGGGAGAGTCCCACCACCACACCACAAACTGCTCCAGCAATCATGCTGATATTCTGTGCATCTGGTGTCCCAAAAACAAACGTGTTAGTTGGTCAGCTCTCACTAGGGTCATATGGTCAGATTCTAATCCCTGCTAAAACTTACAGCACTGGGTATATATTTGAAGAAAATGCTTTAGTCCACTTATTTAGGCATGTCTCCACACAGAAATGGAACCGGTTTATCTTCAGGCATTGTTTCTAAAACTGAACTAAAAGTGAGGAAAATATTTAACTCTGGAAGGGTGTGATCAAAAGTGCTGTGCCTTCAGCTACGGGTCAGAAATGAAATGAGGAGGAAAAATGCTCTCATGAGAGCACAAAACCACAGAAGGTACAGAGGCAGCCAGGACAAACCCATGGTAAACAGAGCTCCAAGCAGTTTTCTAGAGGCAGAAGAGTGTTAGAACTATGCATATTTCCCCATAAGGACTTTTTTCCTCCTCCAACTCACCCTGAAATGAACACAATCCACTTGCAGAATGAATTATTCAGTTGGGGAAAAAGTGACCTGAGGGGGGTAGGGAGGGAGGAGGAAAGGAAGACCATGCTGTGCAGGTAAGAAGGCATTCTTCATCCAAAAAAATAAAGTTAATGAGAGGACAAGTCCTAGTTTATACAAGCCCTTAGTTGATACTTTATAACAACTTCTTTTGATAAGAATGGATAGGTTGAGTTGAAATTTTTTCCCTTAAGGCTAGTCCCTGGGGATGGTTTAGCAAACCCAAGTGAGGTTTTAAACCAATTCAGTTCAATTGGCATAAAAGCTGCCTGGACGCTTTTACTTCAGATGCCTGAGGCAAACGGGTCTTCCTTGCTACATGACCATATTCCAGTTATTTTAGGCCTGGCTGGGCAAAATGTTTCCAAAGCTATGGAATCTCCAAGAAGACACTTCTCTATTAGCAGTGTTTAATCACTGCAGTTCCAGCTCCTCCAGTTCTCCCCTGAGAGCTGCACATAAGTACCTGCTAAACTGTATTGATTGGCTTTGTCCTCAGTGCTGGTGCTCAACTCCACCCTTTCCTTGCATGCATATGCAAAGGACCCAGGTACCTAGACATACACCCACCCTTGATGGGGATAATCTGGTAGGACACTGATTTTAATCCCTGTTGTTCAGGACAGAAATCCGGATTTAAGCCAAACTATGTCAAAAGTTGCTTTTTATTCCACACATTACTTCATGTCCAAGTCAGCCTTTGCAGATGCCTTTGGACAGTTTAATCTAATCTTTAGACAGTTATCTGACCTGAGAGCGACAGATACATAATTTGTTTGTAATTGAAACAGTGGAATATCCACATGGAGATGTTATACTTGAGAGTAATCTCATGCAACCTCTCAAGCCAGAAATACCTCTCAGCCTTTCCAGCTGCCTTTGGACACTTTAATCTTTAGACAGTTATCTCTCCCGAGAGTGACAGATATAAAATTTGTTTGTAATTGGAACAGTGCAATATCCACATGGAGATGTTATACTTGAGAGTAATCTCATGCAACCTCTCAAGCCAGAAATACCTCAAAAGATGGAGACTCTGCAATCTCTAACTCCCTGTTTTTCCCTTTGCATTTCATAACCTAACCTCATAATCAAAATTTCTAACAGACCAAAACATCTGAGCCCAAATGATGCATTTACCACTTCAGGTTATACAGAGATGTGCTATGCAAGGTGTAAGTGCACTAAACCAAACAACTCCTTCGTGTGACTGGAAGGGTACAGGTGTGGCCCAGTTTTACCAGTGGCTGGGGAGCTGGGAAGCAGTGCTGCTCAGATGGTGGTGCCAGTGCCGTGCCCATACTTACGCTGCACTGTCACCTGCACGACACAGCTTTCTTGGCCAGCCTCGTTGGTGGCAATGCATTGGTACAACCCTGTGCTCATCTGCGTGAGATTCTTCAGGAGGACTTGCCCGGGATTGGAAATGTCTGAAACAGGAAAAAAAAACACTGGGATCAACCAAAAAACACTGAGAAACCTTAACAATGGATAGCACACGGAAACACAAATTGATTCAAGGATCAAATTGGTTCAAGAACAATCAAGACGCCTCCCAAAAGATTGTTTCTGAACTTTGAGCAGAATGCAAAGCAACTGTTCGTGCACTTCCTTGTTCAGGGTGGAGCACCCCACAGCACCCAGCTGCAGTGGTGAGAGGTTCTGTTGTACCACTGCTGTCCCTGCCACCAAGAGATGTCCGTTTAAAGTCAGGCGTGTCCCTGCAGGAGTGCATGCTCACAGGGGTGGAGAGCTCCAAGAGGAAATGACTTGACTCACTGACTCGGGACGTAGGGGGGAGATGTTCAGCTCTCTCATCTTCCTCGTTGATGCGCTGCCATCGGTAGGAGATGGGCGCGGTGCCCGAGGCAGACCGGCACTGCAAGGACAGCTCCTTGCCTTCCAGCAGCTCCCCCTCTAGCCAGCATTTGGGCTTGGAAGGTTTTTCTGGAAGAAACAGAAGACAGTTCATGCAAACACAGCAGACTATTTTCTCAGCGGAAACCCTTTCATTGGCAAAGTAATTTAAGGAGTTTCCAAGAACTGCCTTCTCTGGAACACATGACACCACTGTTGTTTGCTTGGGGACTTCAGCTGCAACTGTGTGTGCAACTGCACCAGGCTAAGGAACAGCTTGCTGGCTTAGACATAAGAACAGCACATGATAATGCTACAGGGCAGTTTGCCATGGATACTCGGATCAGCAGAGCTGTATAACTCCATTCCTTTTCCATGTACTATTTAGAGAATACCCTTTCCCTCCCCTTGCTTCTCCATTTCTTCTGTCCCCAGCACGTGGCAGGCCACAGCAATTCTTCCATGGGATGATAGCAGACATGAAAAAGCCAAAGAAATCAGGAAAGAGAAATGCTAACCCTGGCAGCTTATTTGTCACTTCCACTGACTTGGATCATTCAGGGGACTTGGGACGTGAACCCAGAGTCCCCCAGCAGCAGATCTGGACAGGGCAATCACCAGCTAAGCTAGAATATCAGCCTAGTTGGTGCGATGAGGTTGTTTGGAAAGAACAGTTCACATGATTTCACAGTGATCATACTTACCTTAAAACAGTTCTTTGGGGTCTTCCTGTGTCACGTCCTTTGCCAAAAAATGCAATAAAGTCGGACAGTGAAACCTGATCATAAGAAGTCTTTGTACTTATACCCTGCTGAAATAAATCTCTCTGCAGGCAACGTGTCTAGCAATTGTTTTACTTTGGAAGAACAACAAAACGACCTTACCCACAACCTTGAGGGTGATGCGAGCCCACTCGTACTGCCCGGCGTTTTTCACCTTGCAGATGTACTTCCCCGCATCGCTGGACTGCAGGGATGTGATCTGCAGGGACGCGTCGCCAGCGAGGAAGTTGGATGTGAAGGACACACGCCCTTTCTGTTCCTCATTCAGGTCATCATAAACACGGCCTCCAGAGTAAGTGATGACCTGAGGAGCAGAGGCAGGCACTCATCAGTCAGTTGTAATTTCACTTTCACGCAAAGCAACAGATCAAATCCTTTCCAGGAGCTGCTGACTGAAGTTCAGCATGGTTAAGTGACATGCCAAGGGTCACACGGGAAGCCTGTGGCAGGGTGGAAAACTAAACCTGGGTTTCAGGTCTGAGACTGATACATAAAACTCTATTTATGCAAGAGATTTTCATCAAAGCATTTATAATAGCCTCAAAATAGATTTAAGCTTATGTTACAACTCATAAAAGCAGACTTTCCTTTTGGCTGGTTTGGGCTGGCTAATTTAAGGTACTGAAACATGATTTTTAGGAGTACTAAACTACATTGCTTCCTGAAACCAACGTTTCAAAAACTGAGCCTACAAAATCAAGGCCAGTTTTGAAAACCTGAACAGCAATTCTGAGGTTTATCTAATAACAAATGAGTACATAAGTGCATTAGTTTAAAGAAAACTTGATTGTAACACAGCCTGTTCCGAGACAGGATGTGTGAATATGGATTTACTTTAATACGTTATAAATCTATCTAAATAAATCAGGTGTTTTCTGAACAGTGCTTACTTGAGCAGAATAACTCTCACAGATCACCACAGAAGTCTCTTTAAGTCAACAGCTGCTGGTGGTACCCACACAGCCAGAAATAAAACCCCTTTCCCAGCAGGTGCTGCTGGGGGCTGAACCTACCGCTTTCTGCACCGTTTCAGAGATGTGCAGCAGCCACTCAATGTCCAGGCTGCCCTGCTCCAGGAGGCCCAGGCGGTGGTGACAGGGCAACGTCACGTTTTCTTCAGCCACCCTCTTAAATTCAGTCTGAGCCTCGGACAGCCAAACAGAACAGGAAGCTGAAAAACAGAGGCCAGGATTAAGGATGTGTCTCTGCGCTGACAAGAGCTGCTCGCTTAGGTTTCCTTACATTCCACCTCGTTTGCTTCACAGCATCAAAGCAAACCCAACAGCTTGGCTTCCCAGACAGATTGCAGCTGATTAAAGGGGACATCTCTACATGCATAAGCAGTTACTTTCACACTAATATTTAAGCACGAAGAACAGATGGCTTCACACTCCAGAGCTGTCAATACCAAAGTTGCACCCACACGCTCTGTGCACTCCAAATTTCAGTTAATCTCCTCAGTTTTACTTTCACCTCTTATTACTTTATTTCATAAGCACTTATTCCACCCAGACGACCTTCAGAGCCTATCACTTTATTCCTATGTCTGTTTGACAAGGTTTGGAATCTCTTCCTTAACAGTGGATTGTGTTTGTTGCATGCATTTCAGCACTGGAAATAAGAGACCAGCCTGGGGACGAGAGGGTTAACCTGAAGAAAGGCAAGGTACAAGTAGGCTAGCAAAGTTTCTTTGAATAGCAACGTCAAAAAAAAATTCGTAAGTTGTCACAAATGTTTTTTGTCAGGGTTTAAAAGAAAGGTGAGAAATTGCCGAGCGGAACCAGTAGAGGGAAGCAGAGCTTTTTAAAAGTCAGCCAGTAAACCCCAAAACGCCTTTTAATGCCCTAAAACCTGGACCAGGCAATGATGCACTGCAGGAAAAAAAAAAAGGTGTTCAACCAGCACTCAATTGAGCACTGTAAAGCTCGTGATTTCTTTGAGTTTCTTTATGTACCATATCCCTGCTAAAACTGAGCAAAATAGGGAGTGATTCTTGGCTTTGCCCCTCTTCAACACACAGATGCACCGTGGTTCAAACTCAGTTAAAACTGGCCCAAAAGAAGGCAGCTATGGACTATTACTGGCATCTAGGGGAGGGATCCCCTGGTCTTCTATTACACCAAATTAAAAATTTTCCAGCCAAGTTTGCAGGGGGATTTGTGTGGAACAAATACCATCTGCCTTTTGTGCGTGAAGCTTCAGAGTGTAGTTAGGTTGTTGAGCTTTGCTGTGCATTAAAAAGGCCTAAAACCATTTCTTATCCCTGTGAAATGAAGTGAGATGAAATATCTTGCTTCTTAAACCAATTACTGGGAAACTGATGAAAACTGGAAGAGCTGGCAGCACTAGTAAGTCACATGTGCGACCGAACACACAATCCTGTGATTACATAGCAAGATTACTAGCCAGAGCTTAAGAAGCTCTAGTTATATAGGCTGAATTTAAACAGTGTATTTATACAGTGGATTTTTAACATTCCCTTTATCTTCCAGTGAAAAATTAAAACAAACAAACAAACAAACAAACCACAAACACCAAGAAAAATGTCATCCAATGTTACACTTCCTTATCTTCTACTTCTTCAGGACCAGCTCTGGTTTTAGAAAATTCCTTCTGTCCCTGCTCCCACTCTCAGATCTGCATCTGAGTTGTTGACACAACTATTCCTCAGTTCCTGAGCTTCTGGTACTTGATCCATACTTGCCACACACTTCTATAAATGATATCACCTCCTATGTGCATGCACCTATATAAAACACCTAGAAACTTAAGTCATGCCAAGGATTAAGCTCTCCTCCCTTACATGGATCTCTGCACGAGTTGGGAGTGAAAAGCTCCTTTTCAGCCACATTAGCTGCTTTCTTTAAAGGGAAAAGTAATCCAGTTTATCAGTGGATCCGCTCGCCTCAAAGCTCCATCTGCCAAACACAGTGACACGTGCTGCCCCAGACGAGCTTTCTCCCACAGCCCACGCTGCTGCAGGCTGCCCTCATTAACACGCTGCCACTGGCTAGATGACTGATCAATAAGTTTAAATTAAATGCCACAATGGTGAGCATTCACATAACATCTGCAGTGTTTTCAAAGCCCTGTGCCAGCAGAGCACTTAAGTTTTTGCGACCATCTCACAGGGCGTTGTTTTAAAAATTCATTTGACATCAAAAGTCTTGATCAGGATTAAAAATCACCTTTTGAGGAAGCATTACAAGCTCCGTTTTCATTCCTCTCTGGCTTGCACAGACTCTTTTTTTAGGAGAGCTCCCACCTTGCTCTGGTTCTTGTTGCCCCCTGCAAGTATGTTCTACCTTTGAGAAGGAGCCTGTGCTTATAAACTCATCATCTAAATGGGGGTAAGATCAGGGAAGTAACTAGTGAGATGGAAATTTCTAAAGCACCCTTAGCTTCTTCAAAGGAATATGCAATCAGAGAATTTAGAGCTGATTCACCACTGAACTGATAACCAGATTGCAGACTTCTCTATAACACATCCATCTTACTAACAAAAAACCAAACTTGTCCCTTTAGTCCTTCTGAGCCCTTTAACAACGCCCACAAACTCACAAGAAGGTCTGCAGATTTGCAGGTGTCCTAGACACAGCCCTCCCTTAATTTTCTTTCCAGTTATCTATACCTGTATAAAGTCAAAAGGAAGCTCAAAATACCTTAATGGAAGTACCCAACGTAGAGTGCTAGTTACAGAAATTATTAACAAAACATCCAAAGACAGCTCAAGGCAAATAAACATCAAGCCTTGAACTAGTTTGGGTAGGGTCTTACTGTAGCAAGAAGTGACAAAGTGCAATTTAGATTTAGATATATGCTGGGAAAAAAGGAACTAGAAAACGTATCCAAGTCCTCTCAGTTATTTTAAGAGTTTTGTTATTCAGTGCCCTCTGAAGTTCTCCTGTATTTGTGTAGATGAGATCTAGCAAGAACAGGTCCAAGAAATGAAATTTTGCTCATAGTGCTTTGACCATTTATTCCTCCTGCCCCGTTTAAGTTTCATTTGAGTAAATACTAAAGGAGAGTGTGTGCTTTGCCCTCCAGCAGCAAACACCTCCCTACGCTGGCCAGAGGACACGCTGGCTACACTCCAGAAGCAGCTTGCTCTTGGCAAGCACTCTGCTCAGCTGGATGGGCACACAACTGGCTCCCCAGCTCTGCCCTTGCTGGGCTTGGCAGCCACAGGAGGGCAGAGCCCACGGGGAGTGATGCCTTCAGGGCTGGCTCTGCACACAACAGATTACAACAATAGATGATTTTCCCAGGAGCCTGGTCCAAGAGTCTAGCTCAGTAATGCCACATATATGCAGGCTCCACAGTTCTTAGCCCCAAAAAACCCTCTTCCCCTTCCACATCCTGCCTGTGGCTCTTTGTGGTACTAAGAGCAACTGGGGAATTTGTTCTTTTGCCTTTACTCCTGCCTTACTCAGCCCGTGTCCCACGGCTGCAGAGAGAGGTGGGTTGGTTTCTCCTGGGGAGCAGGAACCCCAAGCTCACTGTGACTGCAGCGTGTTGAAAGCCTTGGCCGTGGGCCTGAGAAAAGCTTTGGGTGCAGTGCCAGGCTTGCTGACAGCACAGGCACTGCAACGGGCTGTATTTGGGAGGAGGAGACCATTCCAATGTTTAATTGTTTGCTCTATTGTTCAGAAGACAATGACCTACCCAGCACGCTGCAAACAAGAAAGGAAAATTGCCTTTTATCCCACACTGTTTTTTCAAATGTCCAAGAAATAGAGAACAACAAATATTTTAAACACCACCAAAGCTAGCACACCTAAACTGATTCCCCAAACAGCACAGGCACAGATTGGGCCAGAGACTTTTAGCCATTCTGCCTTGCACACAAAGCAGATTTTAAAGAACAGTGTGGACAATATCCTGTATTTTTCTCATGCAAACATTTTCAAGTATTTCCCAGATCTCATCTTAGCATTTTTAAAGGACTACTGCTTTCAAGCATGTATTGTAAGAGCATTTGAATTTCAGAAAGTCAGCCCTTCAAAACAGATGTAGGAGGAAGGAACTCTCCCCTATACAGTGCAGCAAGTTCTGGGCAAATTTGGACTGTGACCATCCAAAGTAGTGCTCATGTCTGAATCCTTAACATGATCACGTGTGTTTTCATCTACATATTATGAGGCTCAGTTTATTTTCATGCCCATCCAATAAAATCTATATATACAAATGCACATATATACCAACAACATCAAATATCCATAAACATACAAGTAGAATCAAAGTGAAAATAAATGTTTTGCTGACATTTTTATTTGTAGGCAAATTCATGTGCTAAAAGCTAAAGAGCTTCCAGATCTAAATCTTTCATTAGGTTCAGAAGAAGGTTTGAATTAGGGAGCAATGCTAAATATAGATTATACTTTTTAAAAAGTAATAAGTTGTGCTAGATCACTTAACTGCTGGAATTAGGAGGAACAGCCTAGATAAGATTCAGAAAAAAATAATCTATAATGATGCTTTGTAAACTTGTTCCAACCCCTACCTACACCAAATTAGTTTAAGATGGAAGCATCCAAAACAGGTCTCAACATTTTAATTGCTCCGGGAATATCTGTGATGTTTATTCTTTAGATATACTTCCAATTTCTTTTGGCTTTTTATTGGAGGTGACATTTGCACCATACTATTCCAAAACACTGATGTTCAAGGAGCAGAAATGTGATCAGTCATTTTTGTGCCACTCGAGACACGCTGTACTAGCACCACAGAGCAGGATGAGCTGCTCTCATCTGCTGCTGAGGAAAACTTTCTTCAAGGCAACAGCTAAAGCATGAATCCCAAAACTCTCTACAGTTTATAGTACTGTCTTGACAATTTCCACCTCACCTGTGAGAGGTGCTCTATCTGCTTTTGTTCATTAGTATCAAAAGGTTTCCTGGGTGAAACTGTGACAGGAACAGTGAATGGCCACTGTTGTCAAGGCACATCACATCCTTCCTGAAAGAACAGTCCCCTAGAGAGACAAGCTCTCAAGTGTAACCAATAATTTTGTGATCTTATTTTGAAGAGTTCTTGGAATACTCTTAATTATTTTCACATCTGTGTGATTCCACTAACTGAAAACTGGGTCCTTCACAAAGGGAAAATTCGGCCCCCTAGTCCCAAGTAACAGATGTTCTCAAAACCCAGGTAGGCTGTTGGAAAAAACACACCTCAATGCATCAAAAAAAAAATACTTTTCAAA